ATTACTTTTATAATATTTAACTTGAAACAAAATTAATATAACTTTGATGATTACGTAACTTACATATGTCATTTAGTGTGAAATATAATTAATTGATTTTGGTAATAACTATTGTAATAGAATAATTGATAAAATATAACTACACTTAATTAATATAAAATATAACAGTTTTTTTATAGTTAATCAAAATTTATCATCTACATTTATCTGATAGTCAGAATTTTTTTTATATATATATATAAATATATATTTACACATATTATCATGATTCATTAGGGTATAATAAATAATGATAAAATAATATCTATACTATATAATAGAAATAAGAAAAAATCTAAAAAACGCATGAAAAATCCCACAAAAAAATTCTGTTTTTACTATTATCGGTAAACTTTTTCAGAATTATTAATCTCGCCTTTGACAAGTTTTTTGAATTTTAAAAAAAGTCAATGTGTAAAATCCGGCCAAATCAACTAAATCTATATATATATAATAAGAATTAACATTTATCATAAATAGTAGTAAGGAAAAGTCAACCACATTTATTATATACTATTTTCAGCAACTTTTACATTTTACATTTTAATTTTAATTCATTATCAAAAAATTGGATGGTTCCTAAATTAATGGGTTTTAAATGCACGTATCATGTTTCAAAAATTATAAGTCATTTAAAATCGGAGGGTTCATAAATTAATGGTTACAAACTTTTTAAAGTTGTAATCTTTATGGCATCTTTTCTTTTTGACTTTTAATAATAAAATTATTTTAAATATATATATTCTAATCCAAAAATTCAATCATGTTAAATATATATATAGATATATATATTGAACGCTAAAAATATTTTTTAAATTGCATACCCAATCAATTAATCTTAATTTTTTTAAAATTACTATGTTTATTTTTTATTAATATGCATAAAATAAAAATAAATAGTTCATCTTTGGATATATAATTTATAATCTTAATATACTATCATTTGGTGTAGACATATGAATCATAAAATATTTTTATTTCATAAAATTAAATATTATATGTAAAGAAAATAAGGAAATTACTTTGGATCAATCGGGTGATTGAATTAGGGTACTGTCCACTTTGATTGAATTACTTTTAGGTGATATTTAAAATAGTCAAAAAACTTGACATAACTTGGTTGGTCCGAGGTAATTAAATTATGTATCAGTTTGACCAGACCAAATTGATTATTGAACCTAAATATAAATTTTAATATTAAAAATACTTTATTACGTAAATGTAATGTCGTCCAAACTTCAAATAATCATATTAACAATACTTTTATGACAACATGATTAATGATTTATGAATATTTATATATCATTTTATTATTATTTATGTGAACAAAATATTTATTTCATTATCATTTTTATTAATGTACGGTAAATATAAGGTTTTCAAAATCGCACCGTCTTATGGTTGTTCAGATTTTAATACATAATACTTTAATATATATATAGTACTATTTGTAATAAATTTAAATAGAAAGTGTTACTTAAATATCTAAACAATTTATAAATTCAAATGTTTAAACTAATTGATAAACAATTTATAAATCTCTATTTTATTTAAATATGTAATTTTATTTAAAATAATTTTTCATGTAACAAAATTTGTTTAGAAAATCGTATCGATCTTACCAGTTTGTTTAGAAAATTGTATCGATCTTACCAGTCCAACATACTGGTGTTGGCGGATTCGATAGCAAATATTTTATTCAAGCGCACTAAATCGGTTATAAACCGGTTCTCGGTCCATCCGGTCGGACTGTGTCCAACCCGGTTTAATTTATAAATAATGTGTAAATCATGATTAATGTTATTTATTTATTTAATTTATAATACAATCAAAATATTATTTTCCCGTGCATCGCACGGGCCACGTACTAGTTAGGATAACAAGTTTGAAAATTTGTGTAAATTTCCTTAAAGTTTGGAAAATTGTGTTGTCCATATTTATCAAACTAAACAAATATTTTTAAAGTTGTAGAGAATCCCAAAGTGATTAATATTTGTTTGTCCATATTTAACTAATAAAATGATACATAAATATTTTGAAAAGAATCCTCCATTTTTATCTGTTGCTCCTTGATTTTAGATATTATTTTTGTTCCATTAGAAATCATTATCCTTAATTAAGATGCCTTATTTTTCACAATTGTTCATTGCGAAAAAATTTCTCAGTTATCCCAAAAGATCCGCACTCTCAATATGACTCTTTTTTAATCCTAAAAACGTTGTAAATCTATACTTATATAATAAGAATTAACATTTACTCAAAATAGTAGGTCAAATTATGGTCAATGTCGGATTTGCATTAAATATTTTCCAAAACTGGTAAGTTTTTGTCTTTTTCACACTTCTCATTAATTATGTTCTTTTCACACTTCTCATTAATTATGTCATTTTCACACTTCTCATTAATTATGTCCTTTTCACACATCTAATTAATTCATTAATTACGACATAATTATCATAAATTATTTCATCTGAGCTTTTATCGTTAAAATGTATAGCGATCTATTATGACCTTATCCCATTGATATTTGCATTAAGCGTCCTTATCGCGTTCTATTTTTTGGTAACCACTCTATATCAATAACCGGATATGTAGTTAATGATAGCACATGTCTTAATTTCAAGGAGCGGATATTCTTTGACCTTTAATTAATCTGAACTGATTGTCTTGACTTTTCAATTTTTAAAAACTCTTTTTTTAAATATTTCGGCTTAAGATTCGGATTTCATTATACAAGTCATCGGATTGTTTAAATGAAAATGAATGAAAAGAACACCAAAAACAGGTAGCCTTATTCATATAACCAATCCTAAAATATTAGTTTGTTCACAAAAAGAGACAAATCCTAGAAATCCTAAAATATTAGTTTGTTCACCAATCTTAAAATATTAGTTTGTTCACCAAAAATATTAGTTTGATTTTTTAGGATTTGTCTCTTTTGAAAATATTAGTTTGTGATAATGAGGAGTTACCAAATAATCAAACTCATAATGTTGTGTATAAGGAGGTTTTTAATAATATACGATTGTTACCGAACTTTTTATGATTCAACAATGTTCCTATGTATTTTAATGATTTCAATTTTGATCTTAATGCACGTTAGGTTATATTATTTTTTCAAATTTTACATCCCGTGCATCGCACGGGTTACGTACTAGTTATTAAAAAAGGTAGATGTGATATCTTTAAAATTCTGATTAATTTTATTTCAAACTTTTCTCTTAGTTATGCATTTGTTAGTTGGTGATATATATCTTTTTTATAAAAAAAATAAGATAATGTTATTCAAACTTTCAATCCAAATCTTCCAGAAGTCAATAAATTTAGTTTAAAAAAAAATACTTTACGATTCGTATTTAACTAAATTTATTAGTCAAAAATTAATTTAATATAAAATTTTAAAATGTATCTATCTATTAATATATAAAAAGGTGAAACAATTACCTAAAATAATATGTATCCAGCTTAAAATTTTAGTTTTTAATAGTATTAGATGTAAAAAAATCATAAATTCCCGCCCAAAGCACATTTGATGACTTCTAAAAAAATAAATTTGAAATTCGGCACAAATCGGCTATGTTGTTTAAATTAGTCAGTATTTATTTGTCCTATGTATCTAACACCAAACTCTTTGAAAGTTTGTAAAGACTCTCATATTATGTTATGTGGATTCTTTCTATTATTTGATCTACATAAAAATGAAAAATGCCGTGAAGAAGTGTAATCTTATATCTTCAAAATATTTAAATAAAATATTGTCGCATTGTGAAAATAAAGGCAAATATTTAAAAATAGAATATTATCGCATTTTAATATTGAAATCCGTGTGTATAATTTTCTTTCTAAAAATATAGATCGCTTTATCTAAAAAACAATTTGCTTATTTTGGTTACTACTAATCTTATTATTTTAAAAAATTATTGATTTAATCTATTAATATATAAAGAGACAATCTTATTTACCTGAAATAATATAAAAAAAAACCTGAAATTCCCACTCAAAAATTTCAAAACTTACTAAACTTGATAATTTTATTTGAAAATCTTTGAAAAATCAGGCCTAAATGTGTGTTGAAATTCTTAGGAAAAGAAATTTAAACCCAAACATTTAAAGGAAATGATCACATGTAGATTTTTATGGATATATTATTTATATTAATATGAATGAGTCCGCGAGTTAATATATTTTAAAATTAACAAAATATTTTAAGTAATAAGCTCATCTGTGCATCGCACGGGATGCTCACTAATTATTTACTATGATACAACAGTTAAATTAACATGCCCTTAATTATCCAAAATACACTCTTTGTTGATTTGGGGTGTATTTGAATTGAGTTTTTGACCGAGTTTGCCTCGAAACTTAATCCAACTGTCTCGAGATTTTTAAAGCAAATCTTACTCCCTCCGTTTCTTATTAAATGTCGTTTTAATTTAAAACTTATAAATTACGATTTTAATGGGTTGTGTAATAATCTTATTTTTTAATCTTATTAAATTTAGTTTTTGATTTATTAATGGGTGGTTTTTAAAGATAATGATAAGAGATAATGTTTGTTAAAGAAAATAAAGATGTAAGAATGAATATAATATTTCCAACGACAATTAATTTGCAAAAAAATTGACACCCTACAACGACATTTAAAACGAAACAGAGGGAGTATCTGTTTAGCACCATTTGTGTATCGATAATTGTCATTTTAAAAAATAATTAAAATAAAAAAGATAGTAGAATTATGAAAAAATAATTCATTATACAAAATATAAAGAAGGAGATTATATAGACATTTTACATAAATTGACCGAGGTTACGAATGTTGTAATCCGATTGCAGAAACTATATATATCAAGAAAAATAAATCAAAGATTGTTACAAAATTTATAAGCTGTTCACATCATTCAGATTTTCAAATCTGTATATTTTAATTTTGACCACTAACAATATTGCATTTACTTAACAGGTTAAACGATCTCAATCAAGGTAAATAATATGTACAGATTTTTTTTCTATTTCCATGACCGACATATCATTCTTAGAGGTTACAGGGTATAATAAATGGAAAAGCGTGCAACACAACACTATTATTGATTAATTTTGGTGAATTAATTATATTCAACTAATTTTGTTCAATTTTTTTTGGCATATTATTGTACATATGAGAGAATTCTCAATTTTTATTACCTAACTTTTCTTATTTAAGTAGTTGGGTGAGATAATTGCAAAGCCGTGGCCAAATTAAATGGAATCTTAAGCGCTCCTTTTTACTGTTGATCTTGATCCATTGTTTTTTTCTTTTATCTGTTTGCTTAATTTTCTTATGTGAGGTCTTTGTGGCATTCAAAGGAAACTGTTTCTGGTTTAGGTCAGGCAAATTGTGGGCACTTTGTCCCAAATTTTCAAATTTTAACTATTTGTGTGCAGATTTATATATCACATTTGGTTTTCTAAATCTATTACACTATAGAATAGTCTATCCACTTATATTTTTAACTATAAGAAATGTTATGGAGCCAACCAACCATCAATGTTATAGTGTCATGTAGGTCATGTGAAAAATAATTAACTCCACATTGGCGGTTGGCTCCATAAAAGAGCCAACCATTGGCTCCATAACATTTCTCTTTTAACTATATGTACACATTGAGTATATCCAGTTCACATTTGATTTTCTAAAATTATTATTGTTCTATCCACTTATTATTGTTATCTATATTAAATTTTTGTAAGTATTATTTTTAAACTCTTATATAATATTTTTTCTTTAGAAATGTATGATTTAATTAAATCAAATGTACGTGGTGTGTGAAAATTTGAAAATGTGTTTGAAATACTAAGAGTAACTCCAGCGCTGCGCTGGATGTGAGATTTTGCGCTGGAGTAGCGATTATTTTTCCTCCAATGCTGCGCCACACTTCTGCGCCAGATGAAAGTAGGGAACAGTGTTGCGCCAGATGTGGCGCAACACTGTAGCTTTATCGCTACAACTTTATTATTTTTTTTTTGGTTGTTTTTTGTGTATTATTATTGGTAAATTTTTGTATAATGTGTATTAGTAAATATATTTTTTATGCTAAATAATTTGTACAATGTATTTGTTATGCTAAATAATTTTGTGTTTTGTATTTATTGATGTATTATAATTTTATTTTGTAATTTTTTAATATTAAAATGATACTATATGAATAAAAATTTAACACATTCAAACAAGTTTATTTCATTAAAATTAAAAGTTTACAATACTCATAAATCATAGAACACAAATAAAAACAACATGATTAAAAATGACTTAAAATACACAAATAAAAAATATACAGATATACCAATTTATTTGAAATAAAAATAAATATAAAATATGTTTATTATTTGAGTAATTAACAATTTATATAAGATTAAATATATATATATATATACCAATTTATTTGAAATAAAAAATGAATAAAAAAATAATATATTTGATGTAGAGTAAAATATAGAGATAAGGGCTGTAGATGAATGTTCAACTCTACTTTAGAATAGAGTAAAATCCGCGCTAGAGTAGAGATAAGGGGTGGAGATGGCCTAAAGCACACAAGATATATAATTTAATGAGGTTGAAAGGGAAATTTACGGAAATTATTAGTATGAGTTTCTTGATTTTAAAACATATTAAAACAATATTTTAAAATCATGAAGTATGGAAATTATAAATGTATTCTGTGGTGCAACTTTATTATATATTTTGTAATACATATTTTGAAAGCATACATATATGTAGAAAATATATAATTGTAGCTTTTAATAATAATACTTTACAGTATACTTTAGTATTAGTTAGTGTGATGGGGTTAATTGAAAATTGTTGTCGCATGCATTGTCGTGCCTATAAGAGCAATGTTTGATTTTATTTGATACATTAGGCCTACAAGAGCGATGCTTTTTCTTCTAATTATTGCAAGGAAAGATGGTGATTGGTGGAAAGGAAAACAACTATTGAACCTCAATAGAAGTCATACTAATTCTGTATAACCGAGCATACACAATATTTGGCTCTATTAAAAAAAATTATATATCATATAGAAAATAAATCCAATCTATATTTTTTTTTTAAAAAAAAAAACGTTAAGTGAAAGTAGATTGAATTTAGTGTAAGTCTATTTGAGAATTGAGATACTAGTTGAAATTTGGTTTGTTCGCATTTTTGTTGTTTTACTTGATTTTATCTATATCATTCAAGATTTTTAAAGCATTTACAATGCTTTAGGGAAAATCAATATGCTTGAATTTTAAATTACATAGACAAAATCAAGTAAAAAGAGTCAACATTATTCAATACAAAAATACCGGGTCTCTGCCCATGTTTTTAAATAGACTTAAAGAATAGATCCAATTATTTTTTTTACTAATCATATCAGCTAGATCTTGTCTATGTTCAGCTGCATTGCAAATCAAATGTCCTTTTTTTTTGAACAAAAAAATCAAATGTCCTTTTGTACATATAGAAGAGATTAAAAACAATGTGGATGCTTATCTATCCCATAATTTTGTGGGTTTCCTTTGTCCCGCACTCTCTTAGAATTAGCTATTGCATTCCTCATATTATTAATCAAACAAAACCATTATTTTTTACATTATCATAAAATAAGCATCAATAATAAAGATGCAAGAAAAGTATAGAATTACATACAACACGCATACTTTTCAGCTTTTCCATCACAATATGTACATTTGTACACTAACATATACAAATCCAACACATATTTGTTAGGAAGATAAATCCAAATTAAGTTTATTGATCGAGTAAATTGCCTAGGCTTTATACTTGGTCCTCATCTTCCTCCAATGTTTATTGATTGAGTAAATTTCCTAGGCTTTATACTTAGTCCTCACCTTCCTCCAACGTTATCTATTGATTGATTAAATTTCCTAGGCTTTATACTTAGTCTCATCTTCCTCCTTCTTTTGCAACTCTCTCATGGTCGTCCTCCATTTAAAGAACGTGCCGAACAATGCCTCCATATCCTCCAAGCTTCTCCCTCTCGTCTCCGGCAGCAACGTGAAGAAGAAGATCCAAGTAAGGGTCGCGATTCCGCTAAACAAGAAGAAAGCTCCTCCTATCGTGATTGCATTATAGAGCGATATGAACGTCATCAATATGATACCGCTCGTGGCTCGGTTCATCGCCACTCCCATGCCGCACCCTTGTGCCCTAAGTTGAAGCGGGAAAATCTCCGAGCTGTAGACCCACGCAATCGGGCCCATACCCATCGAGAAAAATGCGACCGAAGTGTACGTCATGAGCACGCATATCACGACAACCCACCCCAAATTTTCCGAGCCGTACCGGTCAATCGCGGTCAACCCGCTCGCTAGGGTTAGCATCGACAGCGCAAGACCTCCGCAACTCGTGAGGAGGAGCACGCGCCGCCCGATTTTGTCGACCATGAAGGTCGTGATGAGGATGAAGACGGTCTTGCAAACACCGACCGCTATAGTGGTGAGTAGCTTCTTCTCGTCGCTCACGATTCCCGCCTTCTCGTAGATCCTCGGGCTGTACATGACGACTGCGTCGATTCCACTCGCTTGTTGGAAAAACTGCAGGCCGAGGGCCGCGATGGTGATGTGGAGCACGGGTCGGGTCGGGTGGATGAAGAATTGTTTCCACACGTTTTCGCCCTTTCGGCCCGTGCGTTTGGGGACCTCGACTATGTCACCGTCGAGGTCGTGTGGGAGGCCGGCGGCCTCCTTGATGTCGGCAAGGCGAAGTTGGGCTTCTTCGGGTGAGTCGGACGTGCGCTCCAACACTTTCTTGGCTTCACCGAGACGACCTTGCATGACGAGCCAACGGGGAGACTCGGGCATGATAATCACGCCGAGGCCGATGAAGATTGGGGGTATCGCACCGACTCCAAGCATCATTCGCCATCCCAACTTCAACGGAAGGCCGGCGAACGCATAATTCGATAAATATCCCAACAAAACACCTAAATTGATGAAGATATTATGAACTTCAACCGGTTTTCGAGATATGTTTTTCTAATGGATAAAAGTCCAAACTAGACATGTAAACGAGCCGAGTCAAGCTCTAGCTTAGGGTGCTCGAACTCGAGCCCTTAACGAGGCAGAAATCAAGCTCGAGTTCGGCTTGTCTATCACTATTAACGAGCCAAGTTCGAGCTTTAACAACCTTAACTATATAAAAATTCTCTTTATCGAGCCGAGCTAACGAGCTTTAAATGAGCTCGAGCTCGGCTCGTTAAGGTCTCGAACTCGAGCCAACCTCGACCCGAGCCGATCAAGGCTCGTTTAATTTAACAGCACTAGTCCAGACCAACATGAAACGAATGAGAGATAACTGGTTACCGAAATTGATGAAGACCTCCGGGAAAGAAGTGAGAAATCCGCGAGACGACGCAGGCGCCACCTCAGCAGCGTAAACCGGGGCGATCATGAGGGCGTACCCGACACCTAGACCGGCTATGAACCGACCCGCCATCAGCAACTCGTAGCTGTTGGCAAAACCCATGATGGCGGCTCCGACAAAGAAGACCACCGATGCCACCACGATGGTGAATCGTCGGCCGAGCCAGTCGGAGGTTTTTCCAGCCATGGCGGACCCGAGCAACGAGTAGATGTTGATGGTCCCCACGAGGATCTCGATTTGCACGTCCGTTATTTTCAAATCCCGTTTTATGTACAATGTGGCCCCACTCATAACCCCGGTATCTGCAATTTTTTTTTATTCGAAAACAATGAATAATCAAAAGTTATAATGCGCATTGTCAGCCTAAGCGTGAGTAACTTCGCAATTCGATTTGGATACACTAAAATTCGAAAAAAAAAATGAAGATAGTTACCATATCCGAGAAGGATCGACGTCATGGAGGCCATGACGGATATGAGCATTGCATACATGTTCTTTTTGGGCCTTTTCTCCACGACCGACATTTGCTCCGCCATTGTTGGAACTTGATTCGGAAGAGGAGAAGATGAGCTTGGAGGATGAAAATAAAAAAAGAAAAAGAAAAAGAAAGATTTATACAATATTTTTCACGGAAGAGCTTGCACGAGTCACCTTATATAAATGATTAGGACAAGTTAATTCAAATGAATCTCAACCAATGATTCATAATTACTAGCAATTTTGCCAATAATTGAGGAGTATCGTTGGTTTTCATTTTCGTTTCTTGACAATGGTATGAGTGGTTTATAATTAAATGGCGATGTTACTACAAAAAGTTGTGATATTATATATAATGAAATTTTCAATAGTAATCTATATATATATAATAAGAATTAACATTTTTAAAAAATAGTAAGCAAAAAAATAGGGAATATTAATTGCATTCCATTTTTGGTATGTTTTTTTTAATTTTTTTTAAATAAAAAATCAAGTAGCATTTAATGCTACCACAAATCATGAGATTTGTTATATAGATGCATATTTGAATTTCAAACTTCAAACAAAACATGCCTAAATGTATTTTGATTTTTTTAGGGGAAAAATTTAACAAACACGTTAAAGATTTCATACAAAACATATATTTATATATATTATCTTAACATATAGGTTAATTAGTTTCATATATAAACAATATATATTTAAACAATATATAAACAAATCTAATAATTTGTCGTACAATACAGACAAATATATAAACAATATATTTATATACAAATATAATAAACAATATAAAAAAATATACAAACAATATATAAACAAATATAATAACTTGTCACGTGTATATTTCGTACAATACATATATTTATATATATTATCTTAACATATAAGTTACTTAGTTTCATATCTAAACAATATATATTTTAGGATTTTAAAGATTCATAACATTACTGGCGTCATGTATATTTATAATATATTGTCACGTACATTTTACTACAATTGGTGTTTTTTTAAAAATTATTTGAATAACTGGAGATTGATTTGTAATTTGAATTTCAAATTTATTCAAACATTTAAAGAAAAATATCATAAGCAGATTTTTTTGATACATTTCATTTATCTCAACTTACATATAATCACATTCCTACCAAACATTAAATTTGCTTATATTTTTTTAAATTAATTACATCACGTTATATAACAAATATATTACTTCTACAAGTGTTATAAATAGTAATGACATTATATGATAATAGATTTTTTGATAGATTAATAATTGAGTATTATGATGAACCAAAATATGTAAAATTATTATTATTTTGTATTAAAAAATAAATATATATGTTAAAGTATTATTTATAATAATATAAACGAGTCAGCATGCTATTACAATAAATTTTATAATAAAATAATATGAGTATTATACGAGGAACAAGATTACGTAAAATTGTTATTTTTTTTATATCAAAGAATAAATATATATAATGAAATTAAATTTATATTATTATAAACAATTAATTAATTTACGCTCTAGCGCTACCACTACCAGACTCAGGTTTAATGTCTCGACAAAAAAGATGACGTTGATGAAAGAGGTAAAAAAATAGATGATCAAACTCTATTATTTTTTTGGGCCTTAACTGACAAGCTCTATTGTCCACTCATTTAATATCTCCCGTGAATCACACGAGCTACTTAACAGACAAGCTCTGTGAAAATGACTCATTTAATATTTATGTCTCGTGCATCGCACGGGCTACGTACTAGTATATTTCAATGAAAATTCTAAGTTCCAATGGTATACTTTCTGTTGGCATTATTCCAATAAAAATTTCATCAAAAGTATTTCGTTTGAATGAATTTTCCATGAGAATTTGAGTTGGAATTCGATGATGCAATCAATGACGGAGCTAATCATTTTTTTGAAAAAAATAATATATATATATATATAATTCTATTCTATTTTAATTTAAATTAATAGTATTATTTATTTATTAAAAAATATACTAACAATACTTATATTTTATATTTCTAGATAAATTTTTGAAAATGTTTATAATGATTTACTCTTTCGGTCTCTTAATTGTAAATCCATTTAGTAATTTATAAAATCGAGTAGTTATTGTTAAATTTTTCAGTATTGATTTTTTACTTTTTTTTGTTACAATCACATATTTTTAACTATATTCATTATTTTGTTACAAAAATGCTCATTTGATAAGCTCTTATAAAAAAAAAAATTATATGCAATGTGATGCAAAAGTTCAATTCAAATCAAATTTTCAACCAAAAAACTTATTTTTCCATAAATTAGAGATGTTGAACTTAAATTATATAATCTCGATCATTTTTTCTTTTTTGTTTATTTTTGTAGAAGTTTGAGGGTGATACGAATTATAAATTTTTAAAAACTTGATGGTACACAATATCGATATTTATATTTACAGTAAATATATTTTTATATGAAATGAACATTTTGACTTAAATTATAAGCTCGTAATTTAATATTTAAACTCAGGTCCTCCATGAGTAAAATTTCTAGATCCGTCACTGGATGCAATAGTCATTTTTCTAACAGTTTATTACCGTAGCAATTTCTCCTATAAATATGTGATTTATCTGAAAATTTTTATTACTAATATTTCAATCATTGAATAATTTACTGTTGAAATCATCCAAATTCCACAAAAATTTCAATAGACTTAGTTTGACCGGAGAAAATGTGTTAATGGGCTCAGTACTTACTCAAGATTGACCCAATATCCTACAAGCAAGGCTAGCTCAAGGATTTGCCAATAAGCATAATATGTTCATTTTACTATCAGCTTGTGCTTCACTCTTTTGCAAATCTTTCGAAGTCATCATCCATTTAAAGGAAGTGCTAAACAAGGCTGCATGTCCTCCCTCTCGTCTTCGGCAATAAAGTGAAGAAACAGATCCACGTAACGGTCGCAGTGCCGCTAAATAACAAGAAAGTCCGGCCAATCGTGATAGCCTTGTATAGACATGGCCAAAGGGTCGCCCGGCCCGCCGACCCGGCCCTGACCCGGCACGGACCCGGCCCGGTCAAACCCATTGACCACGGGTCCGGGACCGGCCCGGATTTCAGAAGGGCCGTGTAAGGGTCATTCATTTCATGACTCGGCCCGGAGGGTCAGGGCCGGGCCGGGTCGATGACCCTTCTTTTTAATTTTTTTATTATTTTTTTATACTCTTTTTTAAAAAAAGCACGGACCCGGCCCGGACCCAGCACGGCCCGGACACAACCCGGTCCGGACACGGACCAGGCACGAGTATAGGTCCGTGCCGATTCAGGGTTAGTGTTTTCGAGCCCGGCGACCCGGCCCGGGTTTTGGCCATGTCTAGCCTTGTACAACGATATGAGCGTCATTAGTATCACGCCGCTCATGGCACGGTTTAATGCTACCTCTCGCCGTTGGAATGAATTTTCTATTGCAATTTTAACTGGAATTTGATTACTACAACGACTATTCTTCTAACATAGAAATTTTCACTCGAACCCGTTGTAAACTTTATTTCGAGCTAATTTCAACTGTTGAAAAATCAACGAAAATTTTAATGGAAAACGATCGTTTCAACGGAATATTTTTGTTGGAACTTTCGATGGAACTTTTATTTCGAGTGATATTTCAACACTTGTAAAATTTATTATTGGAATCATCAAAATACAACAAAACTTTCAATGAACACTCGTTCCAACAGAATATCACTCTATTCCATTTACCATACATAAAATAAAATAAAAACGCTAAATTGTCTTCACCATGTATTTTCTACATTAATCCAACATACAAACGTACAACATATCACATTACTACATAAATACAATCAACTTATTAAATTCTAAGTATACATGTAAAAGTCTCAAATTTTCACCTAGTCCACGCTTCTCTTTTGTTTCCTAGGCTCAGCACATTAAGCCCGATACATTTTCTTCCTTAACTATATTCTACCATTACTATAGGATATGGTCAAGCTCACATAGAGCCACACAAATTTCGACCCGAAAAGTATCCTACCCAAATTCATCGATTTCTAGGCATTATTCGCCTCCTCTGATTCTTTCTTTTGAAGCTCCCTCGATGTCGCCCTCCATTTAAAGAAAGTCCCGAACAACGCCTCCATATCCTCCAACGTCCTCCCTCTCGTCTCAGGCAACAACGTGAAGAAAAATATCCAAGTAACCGTCGCAATCCCGCTAAACAAAAAGAACGTCCCGCCGATCGTGATCGCCTTGTATAGCGAAATAAACGACATCAACAAAACCCCGCTTGTGGCCCGGTTTATCGCCACCCCCACGCCGCAACCCTGCGCCCTTAGCTGAATCGGAAAAATCTCCGAGCTATAAACCCACGCGATCGGGCCCATACCCATTGAGAAAAACGCAACCGACGTGTACGTCATGAGCACGCATATCACGACGACCCACTGCAAGTTGTGGGTCCCATACCGGTCGATCACGGTTAGCCCGGTTCCGAGCGTGAGCATCGAGAGCGCGAGCCCTCCGCAGCTCGTGAGGAGGAGCACTCGGCGCCCGATCTTGTCGACCATGAAAGTGGTGACAAGGATGAAGAGGGTCTTGCAGACCCCGACAGCTATCGTCGCGAGGAGCTTCTTGTGGTCGCTCGTGATTCCCGCCTTCTCGTAGATCCTCGGACTATACATCACGACTGCGTCTATCCCGCTCGCCTGCTGGAAAAACTGGAGGCCGAGCGCGCAAATCGTGATGTGGAGCACGGGACGGGTCGGGTGGACGAACAATTGCTTCCACACGTTTTCGCCCTTGACGCCCGTGCGTTTGGGGACTTGGACGATTTCGCCCTCAAGGTCCTTGGGCAAGCCGGCGGCCTCCTTGATGTCGGCGAGACGTAAATGGGCTTCGTCGAGGGAATCGGAGGTGCGCTCGAGGACGCGTTTGGCGTCCCCCAGTCGGCCCTGCATGACGAGCCAACGGGGGGACTCGGGCATGATGAAAACGGCGAGGCCGATGAAGATGGGAGGGATTGCGCCTACGCCGAGCATCATGCGCCAGCCTAGTTTCAAAGGGAGGCTAGCAAATGCATAGTTTGATAAGTATCCAAGTAGAACGCCTGTATCAAGTACAAGAGTATAAATATATAACAGAAAACTCTAGATAACCACAATTTTCTATATTGATGAAAAATATGTATTATTGTTTAAAAATATAACAATATTACAGCAACATAAGAATTTATCATTATATAAAAAGAATAATTTTTTTATAAATTTAGAAACTTTTTCCTGCCAAAATTATTAAATATATCCTAAATATGGTAATTGTTGGATAATTGTGAATAGGCACAAAAACCGGCTCTTTAATTGCATTGTTTTCTTAATTCCAACTTGCAACAATAAATCCGATTGGCTTTTGGTTTAAACTTTCCCACAAAAATCTCATATCATAAATGTACACAAGTTTATCTTTTATTTGTTATATTTCACACGTTTTTAAAAAATCTCATCTCTATAAAGATTTTAAAAAATAAAGTAAAATAAAAACCGATTCATAATTACTACTAGAAATTCATTATCTACTTTAAAAGGCTAATTTTCATCGGTCTAAATACTAATATTTTTACAAATATTCGAGTTTATCTCTTATCTGTTATATTGCATACGTGTCACGATTCTAAAAAATCTCATCTCTTATCTATAAAGATTTTAAAAAATAAAATAAAATAAAAACAAATTCATAATTACTACTAGAAATCCATTATCTACTTAATTACTAATATTTTTACAAATATTATAAGCTAACAATACATCCTCGATAACAACGTAAAAAAGTATAATAACAATAGTATGTAATCAAATATTTTTTTAGAAGTAACGCCATAAATTCGGTATTATCTGACATAATGTCTTTATTAAATTATGCTCATAATATTTTAGATACTTTAAATGAATTGTTTAAACATTTTTTTACATATTCGTCTATATATACATATACACATACATAATTGATGTTAAGTTTAAATATTTGTAGATATGTTTTCCTTACAAAATAGTCTAGAAAAATTAAATTCAAATGATTTTAGATATGTTCCTTCTAATAGAAAAATTGCAGGTGACTTCTCATCTTTCAAAAATAATATAGAAAATTTTGATTACTATTATAAATACTAATATAATATTTTAGGTGTTTTTAATATTAAACATACAAATTTTATATTCTCTTATACAAAATAATGTAAATTTTATATTCTCTTATACAAAATAATTTTACATTGTTTGACCCTGAATCTTTAATTTATAATTATTAAGTATTGTTTATCCTCCTCTTTAATTTATAATTATTTTTTTTCTTCCTCTTTTTAAATAAGATCAATGGTAGTTTCCATTTCCGCTATTGAGTGACTCAAACTCGAGTCTATTTATAATATTGTTAATTTAATATTGTTCCCGTACATCGCACGGGGTACACACTAGTTGATGAAAAAACAATCAACAATCAAGCTCGCTAAGTTTGTCTAATCAAATAAAACAATGCGTTTGGATGATTGTAACCTTTACCTAATCAAATTAAACAATGCCTAAACAATCAATATATATAGATATATAGATCTATAGTTTGGTAGTTCATGTGACCATGAGCTGGATTTAGAATGGGGTCGCTAAAGAATGATGAATAAAGTTGAATATTATGAGATATGATTATATTTGCTTGACTAAGTTACAAACCAATATTCCTTTCGGTCCACTATTCCAAACAAAAATCAGTCTATTTTACTATTATTCTCCACTAATCTTTGATTTCTAAAGTCAATGATTAATGTTGTCCCTGACACTTGTCACCCTTTTTCAGAAAATATTACAATAGGCCACCAATAATTATCGAACATCAGTCCACACATATCACGTGTCATCTTGGACTTCTTTTCCTTATTTACCAAAATAAATAAAAGAAAGTACCGAAAAAAAAAATGAAACTATGGTTAGCAAATTAAAGGTTAGCACATAAGAAATGATGAAAAACATGTTACAACAAATTAAACAATGCCTCTATCTGATTAAAACCTTATATCTAATCAATTTAAACAATTCCTAAACAATCAATATATATATGTGTGTGTGAATTAAAATTAATAAGGTAATTGAATAAAAATGATTTATAGTATTTTGGTAGTTCATGTGACCAAGAGCTGGATTTATGCTGGGGTTTTAAAATAATGATGAACAAAGTTAGAATATGATGATATATGATTATTGCTCACTAACTAACAAAGCGATTATTCCTTTCATCCACTAATCCAAACAAAAAGCAGTGTATTTTACTATTTTTCTCCACTAATCTTTGATTTCTAAAGTTAATGACTAATGTTGTCCCCTAGACACTTCTCACCATTTTCCAAAAATAATACTACGGAGTAATATTTATTGACCACCAATAATTAGATCCATCACTAGTCAACACATATCAAGTCATCTTGGACTCTTTTTTTCTTTTCATTATTTTATTAAAAAAAAAAGAACAGAAAAGAAACGTTCTTTACCAAAATTGATGAAGACCTCCGGAAAAGAAGTCAGGAAGCCGCGCGAGGACGCCGGCGCCACCTCCGCCGCGTACACCGGCGCAATCATAAGGGCGTACCCGACTCCGAGCCCCGCCACGAACCGCCCCGTCATCAACACCTCGTAGCTGTTCGAGAACCCCATGATGGCGGCTCCAGCGAAGAAAACCACCGAAGCCACCACAATCGTTATCCGGCGGCCGAGCCAGTCGGAGGTTTTTCCGGCCATGGCGGACCCCAACAACGAGTAGATGTTGATTGTCCCCACGAGGATCTCGATTTGCACGTCCGATACCTTCAAATCGCGTTGTATGTACAGCGTGGCCCCGCTCATGACCCCGGTATCTGTCAATTTTAAATATATTTAGTTAAAAGTGAATTAAAAATAAATAAATGATACAATTAGTAAAATTTCAAAACTTGTTTGTTGTTATTGGAATTGTGCGAGATTGGTAAAACTATGTGATGATAGCTGATAAGTAATTTTGGAGTTTATAGTTGAAAAACTAGTTTATATGACAAAAGTATTTGATAAAATTAGGTGATAAACTAATTGATAAGTGATTTTCGAACTAGGTGAAAAGTTAATTTATATGATTAAAAATATTTGATAAAATTAGTTGATAAGCTAGATGAAATAAAAATTTCAACAAACTTATTTGAAAAGCTATACAAAACTCATGAGTTAACCCGAGCTTTTAAAAAAAATTAGTCCTACCAAACACAATTTATTTAAATACAGAAAGCCTATAAACTAGTTAATTGGTTAGCAATTATAACCTAAATCAATTAATTGACTTGTTTAGTAAATGACTTATTTAATTTATTAACCTATTGTGCCCAAAATCCTAATTAAAAATAATAATAATAATAAACTTACAAGAACAACGTTATGTAAGAGATGCTTCGAAAAAAAAGTACTCCCTCCATTTTGAAATATAAGCATTTAAGGTTATTGTACAAATATTAAGGAGACATTAATTAATGAATAAATTGACTAAATTAACTTTATTTACTCTAATTACAACCACTCCATACTTTCTTAATTTCAACACAATGAGGGTATATTTGAAAAAAAATAAAATGGAAAAAGAAAANAGTTACCGTATCCTAGCAGTATGGAGGTCATGGACGCCATAACAGATATGAGCAAAGCGTACATATTTCTTTTGGGTTTTTTCTCCACAACCGCCATTTTCTCAGCCATTATTACTGCAACAATAAGGCTCAAAGCTTAGAAGAAGACGAAAGAGAAAATGATGATTTTTAAATTTTTTTTTTCTTTGGTTTTGTTTTGTCTGTGTTTGTGAGTGGTATTATGGCTTGGACTTGGGAAGTGTGCGCATGATAAGTGGGGGACTTTGGTGCCTTATATAATAGTCTAGCCAAGTTGGTGTAGACAATTCTTCACCAATAATAAATAAATAAATAGTTTGATAATTGTTGAAAATGAAAAGTGGGGTATGCTTCCGATAATAACTACTATGATTATTCTCGTTTTCACACACACATACATACTTATATATATTTTCTTAAAAAAATTTAATACATCTTAAAATATTATAGTGGGTATGATACTCATTTACTCTACTTAAATTCAAACAAAACCTTTATAGCATCTGGACATTTTTTACAAGGAGATGTACCTTGTATATCACCAATATTATCATTTTTTCAATAGTTTTAAAATTTACCAACAGAAATCATGCTCTTGTTTGACACTCAAACATTGGATATGGTTTATTTAATTTGTTGATTTAATTAGCTGATTTGAGAAATTAATTGATCAATTAGGATTATGAAAAATGTTTTGGTGAATAATTAGTTTTTTTGATATGTAGATCAACAAAAAAATACAATAATTTACTCCTAAAAGCTTCTATATTGAGCTTTTTCAAAATTAACGTTTGGGATCCAAAAAATTACTTCATGTGGCTACTTATCAAATAATAAAATTAAAGTTCTTGACGATCTAAACTCTAATATACTCTCAAATCTCTAATTTGGGATCAAAACACTAATTACCAAACAAAACCATGAACGTTCATGCATATATTATTGGTTTCCCATACAATTTTCATTTGTATTTACCTCAAAAAAGTAATACAAATTATTATTAATACCAAATTTCACATATTGTACATAAGACATGATGAAATTACTCAAGGAGGAATAATTAATGAACCGTGATAAAATTGAGTGCAACCTTCTAAGTTTTGCCTTTTCTACGGTTGGCCCCGTGCTGTGTTTTACTTTTATCATGTTATGGTCTTTGTTAGGATTAAGCATGGACTCAGAAAATTCCACTACAAAAAAATTGTTATATTCCAATAGATCTATGGTATATATTTCAATGAAATTCCAACGGATATTCCAATGGTATAGTTTCCGATGGAATGAGTTTTTCATTAGAATTTTAGATGGAATTTGATGATTCCAAGGACTATATTTTTAACGATTTTTTACCGTAGGAATTTTTCGTTAGAACTTTTATTTCCACCCCCGTTGAAAAATCTGTCGTTAGAATCGTCAAAATCCAACGAAAATTCCAATGGAAAACTCATTCCAACGGAATATTTTTGTTGGAATTTCCGTTGGAATCCATTGGAAAATTCTAACAAAAATAATAGCATTGAAAAATATCTATTGAAATTCTATTTGAATATATTTCTGTTGGAATTTTATCATTTTATTGTAGTGTTCCGAACCATTCCAAAAATCGAACCTAAATCACTCAGAATCGAAAAATAACTGTTGACCATTTGACTTTATCTGAACCGAATTAAACAGAAAGATTAATTAGTACGGTTCTGGATATTACACAAATATCCGTACCGAGAACCAAACCAAATCGTCCCATACCATACCGAATCGAAGAACAGATAAGTTTCACTTAAATTTCATGTTTAGTAATATTTTATCTACAACTGAATTTTTCCTGGTTTAAAAAAAATATATAAAATGTTATGAAAGGTTAAAGATTTTTTTTTAAAAAAAAATATTTAAATATTACGTAAATTTATCGATACTTAGTCTTACTCTATCTTATAATCAATATGGTATGGAAAGTTAAATAAATATTACTTTAATAAAAAATTATATTATATTTTGTTGGAATTTTAATATTTAAATATTAGTTGCACAAATTTAGTCTTAACTAACATTAGAGTTACTTCTAAAATTAATTTAAAAATAAAATATTTAGTATGATGAAGTATTGATAAGTGTTGGATTAAAAAAAATATAAAAATTAAATTATATCTAGGTGGTCATTAAAAAAATTTAAAAAATAATTAGAAATCTTCGAATATCCGAACCGAATTGAACCTTCCCGATAGTCCCGAGAACCGAACCGATTTTTTGGTACAGTTCAGGAGATTGAATTTTAGTGATCTCCAAATTTTGGTACGGTTCTAGTTCGTCCATCTCCGAACCGTACGACACATGCTCCCTAGTCTTTGTAGTATCTCTAACTAATAAGTAACTAGTGTATACCCCGTGCGATGCATGAAAATAATATTAAATTAATAATATTATAAATAGACCTCGAGTTTGAGTCACTCAATGACAGAAGTGAAAACTACTATTGATCCTATTTAAAAAGAATAAGCAAAAAAATAATTATAAATTAAAGAAGAGGATAAACAATACTTAATAATTATAAATTAAAGATTCGGGGTCAAACAATGTAAAATTATTTTGTATAAGAGAATATAAGAAAAATTGATTACACACCATTTCAAAATTATTATTATACTTTTTGTATGGTTAGCTTATAATATTTGTAAAAATATTAGTAATTAGACCGATTAGCTTATAATATTTGTAAAAATATTAGTAATTAGACCGATGAAAATTAGCTTCTTAAAGTAGATAATGGATTTTCAGTAGTAATTATGAATTAGTTTCTATTTTATTTTATTTTTTCTTTTTAAAAATAATGGATTTCTAGTAGTAATTATGAATTGGTTTCTATTTTATTTTATTTTTTTGAATCTGTATAGATAAGGGATGAGATTTTTTAAACACGTGAGATCGTATGCAATGAGATTTTGTAACAGAAGAGATAAGCGTGTAGATGTATACTAAAAATAGGAAAAAAAATATAAATAGTTATTGTCAAACAACGGTTTTGATAAACTAAAAAAAATGAGCCGATTTTTTTTCCTATTCAGATTTGTCCAACAATTACTATATTAGGATATATTTAATGATTTTGGCGGGAAAAAATTTCTAAATTTGTAAAAAAATTATTCTTTTTATATAATGATAGATAACATAATTGGTCTAGAGAATCTTATCCTTATTTTTTGAAAATAAAATTTGAATCAAAATTATTACACACCACTGAAAATTCAAATGGGACAAGTTTCTACAATTCAAAGAGCGGTAGGTGGAACAGGAGCAATGCCTTTGAATATTGAAAATCTGGGGGGGGAAACATCTTTTTTGTCCTATACTAGAGGAATGAAATGGAAAATTGTAGGAAATGATGAAATATTTTTTAATTTGTAAATTGATATAATGTAAATATTAATAATCAAAGCTAATTTTATACTTATTTTTTCACTTTGCAATTTATAATATTTTATTTATTTATTTTTGGGTAAAATACAATTTAAACTTCAAAATGTGCAGTCAATCATGCATTTGAATCATACAATTATCCGCAAAAAAACACATGTATAGTCAATATGTATGAGATGTTTTAAATTATGAATGTCATCGTTCATGTATTGATTAAAATTGCAAAGTCCATAAACAAGTGTAGTATAAGTTGAAAAAATTATTATAGCTTATTCTTTTTTTTTTTGGTAAATATAGTAGTGCTTGATTTTTATTTTTCAATTTTAATTTTTAAGATAAATAAATAGATGAAATAAATAGCCTATATTTCATCTCATAATTTTGATATAACAACTTTGTATCCATATAAAACATAATTTTATGTGGTAGTTGTTAAAAACCATTGATCATGTATGAGAATAGTACATTTTCAGAATAAGAATACATTTTTTTACTTATTATTTGTATCCTTTTTTTTTTGTTTTATATAAATATTTTTTATATATAATTTTATGTTTTAAGGGAAAACTATGTCCTCTGGAAAACGTGCGGCTGAAAATGCAGCAAACAGAAACTTGTGGATAAAAACACTCGCCCAAAAAAACAACAAAATAAAAAATCCAAAATTCAAAAAAATAAAAATGAAAAAATGCTACTCTATGGAGTTAATCCCATAAGGTGCTCGATCATATGCTCCAAAGACAAACCACTGGCCAGAAATCCACCGTCGTTCATCACCGCCACCCAATCTCTAGCCGCCGCCGCCGTATCATCCGCAGCCGCGGCGGCTCTGGTGCTCTCCGCCGGAGCCATCGAGGTTTCGGCCCCGGCGCTGCCGGACGAGACGCTATCCAACATACCGCAGACGCTAGACAGCATATGCACTCCCGAACACGGCTGCCGGAAAAGGTACAAAATCCAACGGCCGAAATCGAGGAAGGCCGAGGCCTGCACCGGAAAATGCGTCACCACCTGCATTCAGGGCGGGTACGGCTCCCCCGGCGAGGGCCCCTTCAATATTAGGAGGTAACAAATTTTTTTAAATGTGTTATTTGTTAATTAATTGTTTTTTCTTAATGTTTGTTTATCGTCGCATAATTAGTTGATAATCGACATTTTTATCAATCAGTCCAACACTTTTTTAAATGGTGAAGAAGTATCACTTGAATTACAAGCTCGTTTAGCTAACAATCGAACTCTGTTTCTCTGTATCAACCAGTTCAACACATTTTTACTTAAACTCTACTTTTAGAAGTTTTACATCAAAATGTCATGAATAAGGGCAATTATTTCATAAATATTTCTTTAACATACAAAAAGTTGTGTACATATGCAATTCAAGTACAATATCAATATATCATTATTGGAAAAAATATAATCGTTTGATTAATAGGCATTTGTAGCAAGAGTGTTACTGAAATTAATTTGGATATAGATATGGATAAATGGTTGATGAAATTTCATGAGAATTTAATAATGGCTCCTTTTCATCCACTTTTTTGATTCACCCCTTATAACTTGTGATTCATAAGAGAAATAATTAATTTGGTTGTTGGAATTTGAAGTTACACGTTACTTAGACTTATGGATAACTCTAAATATGACTTGTCTGGATAATATGCTCAAATCTTTGTGGAGAAGATGATAGATATTGAGGGTAGCTATAATTAATTAAAGGATAGAAATTCTTCGAGATTTTCTGTAATTGATCATATGCAGCCCGTGAAAAAAAGGTCTGATGAGTCACATGAATTAAAACCGGTTTCCTTTTTTGTTTTTTGTTGACCCGCAAAAACTTAATTAAGGGAGTCTAGCTTGTTCCCAAGCACTTGAAAAATGTGAGCACCACTTTTGGATAAAAAAAGAAGATGGTATTTGTTTGATAATTATTTTTTGAGGGTGAATTAGAGGTTTGATCAATAATTTTTTTTAAGTAGCAATATGTTTTCATATTAAACAACTAATTATTAATCAAATACTTACTGCATAATCAACTAATCAAATAAGTGAATCAAATCTACCAATTCAATTAATTATTCGCTATCAGTTAATTAAATTTGTTGTCAGATATTAGTCAAGTGCCAAACATCATCAATATTTTTTATTCACAAATTATTTATAACTTTGTAGTTAAAACAAATGTTAAAAGAGAGAGAATCCCCTATATTTCTAATGATTCTTTTGTGATTCTACAACAATATCCTACCCACCCAAGAATTCAACTCTACTTTTGAATTTTCAAAAGTAGAGAATAGATATAGAATATCTCACGTAGGGTTAAACTTAATGGCAAATGATTGGAAATTAAACATAATTTGTGGCGTACTCCTCTCTAGAGTAGATCATGTCATTGAAGATGGATTGATTAAGTTCTTTTTCTATATAACGCGTTTTGTTAATTTTCTTAATTTATTTATTTTTATCTACAGACCTCTAGTTGTTTTCAAGGATGGGTTTCGGAGCCGTAAATATTGGTAAGTTTTCATTTTTTTTTTTCTCAAGTAAATATTATTATTAATTTATTATTAAATTATTTAGATATCATGTGAAAAGTAATGAATGTGGTTATGTGCAGCTTGTCCGAGTGCACTGATATCTGTAACTTGATCGGTGACGACGGGCCCTGATTTCATTCATTCTTTTTTCACGTTTTTACTTTTTAATTTGTCTATCAATCACAATTCATGTATGAAATACCTAACAAACTAAAAATCACATTCCTAGAAATTTAGATATCATTTGAAAAGTCCAAGTTCAACTAATTAAGATTGATCTGTGAAGTTGGGATGAAATTGAAATGAATAATTCTCCTTAATTATAGCTGCTAATCGAAATGCTTATGAAATGACTCATTCGTGAGCTCAGCTAGACTTATTATGATTCCTTAGGATTGATAAATTGATATACGTAATTTCATGTGCTAAAAAAATGATTCAGTCGTGCACATAGTTTGACTTATTAACATTCGTTGGGCTTAAATACGTAATTTTATGAACTTTTAGCAGTATTTGGCTCCAAAAGGCTCGATTACAACTTGTTAGCTTATGAGTTGATCTAGAGCTTAAGTATTATGCTCGACTCATTAAAACTCAAGCTTCAGTTGGTAACTCAAGGAGCCGATTTTAAGCTCGAGTATAAGGGCATGCTTGTTTATGAAATAATTTATTTTCCACTCAAAATCTAACTCAACTTTAACTCAACCTCACTATCATTTATATTATTTAAATAATTAAATATTATAAATCAATCATTCTTATATATCACATCAACTTTAATTCACTATTCATCCACTCACATAATTTTAACTACCTATCATTTCCAATTATTTATATCCTACTTTTACATCAAATCATTAATAATCATTTTCAATCATTTAATCCCACTAACAATTAACCATACTACCTCTTTCAAAATTAACTCTAGTTAACTAAAATAACTCATTTTGGATGAAATTTTTCATAAACAAGCACGCCCTAAGGAGTTCCACTCGTTTACAACTCTAACTCTGATTTCTAAGTCTTGAATCAATCCGTTGTCTTTCAGATACAAAAATTCTACATATTTTCAACTTATTTCCATGGGCAAATCAATCTAATCCTCAATCTAAACACAGCTATCAAATCACATAAAAAAATGTNACAGAAACGGGTCGCCACCAGATCCAACCTGATCCGAACTTTTTTCTCGCATTGATAACTGAAATAGTAAAATAATACAGAGATCGATCAATGTACGACTGTCCGATTTACCGAGAATTGAAAACTCTACCTTCTGGAGGCGGCGGCGCGACTGGGGGAGACGAGCTGCGAGACGGCGAGGCGGAGGCGCGGGTAGATGTCGGCGGCGTAGGAGATCGCGTCCCTGAGAAGATGATTCGCCGTGCGGATGAACGGATTCAGGCTTCGGATCGGCGGGAAGTAAAGGGTGAGCATTTCAAGGCTTCGGATTCAGGCTCTCTCCACTTTACTTTGGAGAGAGCATTTTCTGCAATGAAGATCATAAAAAATCGACTACGCAACCGAATAGAAGATTATTGGCTCAACGCTTGTATGGTTCCGTACGTGGAAAAAGATATTTTTGATAAAATTAGTAATGAAACTATTATGCAACGATTTCAAGGCATGTCATATCGCCGTGAACAATTGTAATTATAAGCTAACTTTTTTATGCATTTTTGTTATTTTTTACAAATTATGTCATATCTTTTGCCCCTCCTCAACTAATTTTCTGGTTTTACCCTGATTTTCATGTTGAAAGCTTATAATCTAACTAAATAAGTTATAAGCTATTTTATAGTATTTACCAAACACACTCTTAGTTGCACACATTTTTTTTTTTGGTTGGACTGTCGATTCATCATACCTTTTTAACATAACTGCATACGCATGGTATAAAATGTCATAGTTTTATTCCTACTAAGTGTATAACCTAACTAAATAAGTCATAAATAATTTATAGTACTTATCAAACACATTCTTAACATTACACAATTTTTTGTGTGGGGTGTTGAACAAGTCGGAACATCATACTTTTTTAACAAAATTGGATATATATGCATGGTATATCATACTTTTATTAATATTTTTAAGCATGTCGGTTTAATGTAAAAGTATATATATTTGTTGATAAAATATAATTATCTATCGTTGGATTTGCTTAACAAAAACTTAATGATAATAGCAGTTAAATGGTAATGGTACAAATTTTACTCACTTATATCATACAAGTCATATCTTTTAAGTAGGGTACTTTTTTTTTATCATAAAATTACCATTGGACAAATAATTTTCTTTAAGTATATTGTAAGTCATTTCAAATTTTCTTGGGGATTAGTTTTACAAATATTGATTTTTATCTAAAGTACATGTTTATAATTATTGATTTTTATTTTATTTTAGTATTTTTATATCATATTAATTTTATTTATTGAATTATTTCTCGTATTCGTTTATAATTATAAAAATATTTTAATTCTGTTCTTTTCCAATTATTTCTATCACGATTGAGTATGGGCCTATGGGGCGACAAGATAAGCGAAATTAATCAAAAAGTCTATCCAATTTTCCAACCATATCTATCACCGTTGACTCGCAATTCAAGTGAGCAAAACTCCTGCACAAATTTTGTTATGGGACATGGTAAAGTGGTTGGATTCTTCCTATATTTAAATAAAATAAATATTTATATTATAAAATATTTTAATTATATATTTAATTTACTTTTTAAATATGATACTTAAATATAAAAAATTGTATATTTGTATAAAAAATATGATTGACTAATTGTTGGTCTTCTCTAAGTTGTTAAAAAAAATGAGTCGTTTGTGAGCTCGACCCGACTCAAGCTGGTTGAGACTCAAGTTTGTACTTCTTTATTTAACAAGTCAAGCCTTAAAAATGATTAAGACTCCAAAATATAATTTTATGTGATTTTCTAGAATCGAACTCTTTAATACAGATAAATAAATTAAATTTTAACCTTTTTTATTTGAGTGTCGATTATAACTCAGAAGTAACAACATGCTATATTATGCACCCCAATTTTCCTTCTTCCTTTGTTCTTTTCTAAGAAACTTGATCAAGGTATTTTGGCAGCATATATCCAATTGTGTGGTTTTCAAATTTTTCATCCTTTTTCTCCATGCGCCCATGATTCTGACATATTTATTCCATATTTTTTTATGCCCTTATATTTCTTCTAGATTTTCAAAACTGAAAATTTGATAAAAGAAATGTTAGAATAACCTTCACTCTATAATGAGACATAGCATCAAAGTACTCGTGTTCAAGAAAAGCCTCTACTAAATGGCATTTGTGCCCAATTGCAATAGAAGACCTTTAGTCAACGAGTTTAACTATTAAACGAGTCATTATACTTTTATAATAAAAATATGTTTTTGTAATTTTTTGTAATATATGTCAGTTTGAAAATGTGCTTGTGTGTTTAATAATTTAATCTAACTAACGTTATTTGCGCTTAACAATAGCTTTAGTGTTAATTAATTAATCTCATTGATGTAGGGAAGCGTACGGGAAGGATAAACGAGATACTCTCTCGTAAAACACACAAAACTCACATTATCAGATTTATTCTCAAAATTCAACCCCCATAACAAAGCAGAAGAGCCCTTTAAATAAGACATTCAATCTAAACCCTACCTTATTCCCCAAGCTAGTAATAATAATCAGCATCATAATTATTCTACACCACTCATGCTATCTATGCCGTTATGTATTAACTTATTAATTATAATTATTTGGTAATAAACGAGTCAATATGCCTAATCTTTTTAATATTTAAATATAAATATTTATTGTGCACATCATGAATAGTTGAAGGTTGTCTGTTTGGTGTGGAGGTAGTATTTTTTATATGCCATTTTATGCAACAACTACTTGTGTTTGTAGATTTCTTAATCTTTTTAATTGTTTTTCACATATCATTATCATGTCATAATAAAATTCTTCACTTGTAATGTCATGTAAATAAGCATATCTTATTATATCTGTTTTGATATTTTGAATTTCCCATTCTATGTCCAAATAAATTTTTATTGTACTCATTTTTATTTTTAATTTATTCTCTTTATTTTTTGTATCTCCAAGGATCTAAACATTTTTCAAAGAATTGTTCTTCTGATCTTGAATAAGTTCTACTATTTGTTTCTAGGATTTGGGTAGCTAAATTTATAAATTCAAGCTTATCTTTCCAATATTCTATGTGTTTTTCATGTATTTCAGAATGCGGTGTTGTATTTGCAATTTTCTTTTCAAGAGTTTTACGTCTTGCTAAAAATGCATTTAGCCAATCTATTTGTGGCATTTAGTTAAGTATTTCACCTGTTACCAGGCTCTGATACCACTTTATAATTTTACTTTGTATTTCATATCTTGATAATTTTACTTTGTATTTCATATTTTTAACTTTGTATACTCCTTTCTTTGAAGCCATTTATATTATTGTTTTAGGTGGTCCTATTTTATGTAATTTCTTAAATTTTTTCTTATATTTTTGTATATCATATTCTATCTGTTTTAACTTTTGTTCATCCTTGTTTACATATGCATATTGAATTGATTTTTCTATTAAATAATCTACTTCTTTGATTTCCCTTCGTTTTAATTCATTTAATTCAAGATTTATATCTCTCTTATCCATTACTACAAATTATATATTATTATTTAAATTTATTACTAATGAGTTTAACTCATTTACCTGTTTATTTAATTATTCTATTTCTATATCCCCTTTATATAAACTATCTACTATGAGGTTCTTCAATTTCTTGAATTTTTAATAAATTATTTTCACTTAGTTTTCCTAAATTTGTAGGATTACTAAATGATCGTCTACTATGTTCTCTTAAGAATTCCTTTTGAATTCTATCATTTTAAATAATGGTACTGGTTTCATTGAATATTTTTTCTGTATATATTCTTTCTTGATTTTGATAATTCATACTTAAACTACTATTACTTAATGCATAAGCTATTCTATAACAAACAACCATAGGTATATCTCCTGATTCCATTAATGTTTTTTCTTGAAAATTACATATTATTCCTATACAGTTATTAATTTTCTTGGTTGATAATGGTATAGGAAATTGTAATGATATATTAAATTTAATTACTCCATACTCTAAACCTCCTTCTATTTCTCCTAGCTTTCTAGATTCTTTATGCATGATTCTATTATCTTCAGCTTTTATATTAACGGGTGTCTTTATTCCTTCTCTAAATGTAGATCGCAATACTATTTGTACTGTATTTATGTGTATATAATTTATCTTTTTTCTTTCTTCTTCTTTTATTTTTTCTAATCTCTTTTCTATTTTATTTATTTCAAATAAGGGTGCTTGAAAATTATAATTTGCTTGTTCTATTCTAATTGGTTGTTCTCCATTCATTATTCCATAATGTATTATATTTTTTCTATTTAATTTTCTAATATACTATTATTTATTCCTTCTTTCTTTTCTAAATCTAAATTTCCTTTATTTTTTACTTTTGTTACTACCTTCTTATCTAATAATATATCTGATAAATAAATTCCTTGTTCTTCTATATTTTCTATAACATGATATTCGTTATCCATTATTTATCTTTTATTATCTTATATTTAGAATTCTTAGTCTTATTTGAACACTTACACTAAATACTTGGTACTCAGCTTTCTTTATTAACTCTTTAATCCTATTATTTGAAGAAGTAATATTATCGCATATTCGGAAATCGAAAATGATCTTCTACTGCATGTTCTTTAGGTGCATAAATTTTTACTAGGTTGAATAACATTTGTTCATTTTCTTTTAACATTTTTGTTAATGAAGCAATTTGTTCTATTAATGCTTTGAGACGATTTGTATCCTTACGTATTTCTCTATATGTCATATGCCAAAAATCATTTATATCCATGGGAAACTAAGAATCAATAACAATTTTTAACAAGATAGATATAAGAGTACTCGATTTAAGAGAGTTACCTGATTCCGCCTGTTCTCAACACAATTCTGGATTTAATAGCCTTGACGCATACCAGCTTCGGCCTTTTCTTAGAACTTTCAGTGCTCCAAAGAAACTATTGCTCAATCAACTAACACCTCTAATCTTTCTTCTTATATCTACTAAGTATTTAGAAACTCATTATATATGAAAGCATGAAAACCTTTAGAGAGAGAAAGAGTATCTTAAGAAGTAATTTTATTTCGAATTGTTGTGTCCTCAAATGAAGTTTGAGACACTTATTTATAGGCGAGAGATAAAACTCTGCCTCTTTACATCTGGCTTCTCATGGCCGACACCTTTACATAATAAGTTCTTAGTGGAGATAAAGTGGGTGTGGGTGGTGACTCACCATCCCATTACATAGTGCATTAG